TAGATACACAGAAATCTATTGCAACTGTCATGTAGTTTTAACATTCAAATTTGGCTAGATATGTAATAAAAGAAATTGAATTTTTTAAAATTGAAAATAGGGTTGACAATACTTGTATCTAACTACATACAATGTACTTGTAATAAGTTATATAATAACATACTAAAGCTTTGTTCACATGTGTTAAAAACGAAGGGCTAGATTGCTTTGTAAATATTCCTCATCAGTCTGCATTATGTTCATACATTACAGAGGTTTATTTGTACATATTTGTACATATTTTTTATTAGACGCATAAAATCCTTAAGAAAGGATAAAAAGGGTCTTACAGAAAAAAATTAAAAAAAAAAAAAAAAAAAAAAAACTACAATCTAAAAAAGAAAACAAAAAATAAAAACTTTTCTAAATAAAAAAAAAACAAGTCAAAAACAAAAAAATACAATTTGCAGCCAATGGTGAATACAGAATATAGAATGAACACAAAATGTGGCCTAATACACTGATAGTTGTTGCTGTTTTGTTCCATAGCTGTTTTTTAAGAAGACAGCTAAGGCTGGTGCTAGAGTATGGTTTGCCATAATCAAAATGAATTTATTCTGACTATTTTCTTTATCGAAATTTGGAATTTTATTTTGTGCAGTCAGGAATAATTTGTCCCTATGGTGACTGTAAGCTGGACATTTCATTACAAAATGTTGCTCATCCTCAACTATATTTTGGCTGCACATATATTCAACTTGACATTTCTACCTTGTTACCTATTAATGAGACACCACAAGAGGAAGTTGTTTTAACCTTGGATCTTGTTCACACATGTCTCATCTTCGGATTAAATACAGAACTTTAGGTCAAACCATAGACTCTCCCTGGCGGCCATGTTTGGCTTATGGAACAAGAGAAGATGTAACAGTGATGTTGACATAGCTTTATTGTCAGTTTCACTAAGGTGTTATTTGGGTAGAGGATTATAACTAAGGTTACATGAAAGGGATACCCACAGTAGCATGTCCCTGTTCTCTAAGGTCTATGGTCGAACCAACCCTCTGCCTCTGAGCTAGACTAGCCGAGATCAACATTGCGTTAAAATTTTCACATACTGTAGAATGCGTTATTTTCGCTTGGAATTTATTGTCGCTATTTTCGCTGGAAGGATGATTCCATGAAAATAAAATCCAGCGAATATACTTTTTTTCTCATATTTCACATTAAACTCATCAAAAATCAGTGAAAATAAATTCCATACAAAACGCCCAAAAAGCCTTTTCAGCAAAAATTAATTCCAGCAAAAATAAAGTATTTCACAGTACATGTTTTTCAACTGTGGGTTAAAATTAACTCAGGATCACCCTCCATGTTTACACACATGAAAACAGTGTATAAAGTCTTTTTGAAGTAAAAAGTTGAATTAAAGTCAGCATTGGACCCAAGATGAAGCAGGCTTCTTTATATCAAACAAACCATGTTGTTCTACCAAAACCTTGAGCTATGCTGCATAATATGATTTTTGCCTGAAATAAACATAAACAAATGGTTAAATATTGGTGGCCAGATTGCATTGTGATTATATATCATGAGTACCAATCTCCACAGATATGATGGCATAGTCACTGTCAGTTATTATACCAATAAATAAATCAAAACCGGTTTTCTAATTATAACAATTACCCACACCACGATTTAGAACACTTTTATTCCACACATTAATAATGGATTGACCAACCTCTTACATATTCATACTTACCTCTTCCTCAGTTTGAGATTTAAAAACATAACATACAAATGATTTAGAAATAGTACATGTTGTGTCCCTGTGAAAAAAAAAATCAGTTAGATATTTTTTTTCTAATCATACTGTTTTCCAAGCATTAACATCCTTATTTCTTTACAGCATGGTACAAAGATGCCTATGACCTCACTTACAATATGTACTACACTAGTAGTGTTCCCATGACTACGGGTTCACAAGTAGCTGCTGCTAGTGAAGGAAAACATTTGGTAAGATTTTGTAAGGGGTAATGAATATAATAAAATCTTGGGAAGGGGCTGAAAGAGTTATTGCCAATTCACATATGCCTGGCGACAATTATTTTTTCATAGAAATTAGTTTTCCTTCACTTCATTATCCATCAATCTTAGTCAGCAATATACTCCATTTCCTTCATCTTACTCATCACTTACCCAGCAATATACTCCATTTCCCACGTCTTATTCATCACACACCCAGCAATATACTCCACTACCCACATCTTACTCATCACTTACCCAGCAATATACTCCATTTCCCACATCTTACTCATCACTTACCCAGCAATATACTCCACTGCCCACATCTTACTCATTACTTACTCAGCAATATACTCCATTTCCCACATCTCACTCATCACTTACCCAGCAATATACTCCACTGCCCACATCTTACTCATCACTTACCCAGCAATATACTCCACTGCCCACATCTTACTCATCACTTACCCAGCAATATACATGTACTCTACTGCCCACATCTTATTCATCACTTACCCAGCAATATACTCCACTGCCCACATCTTATTCATCACTTACCCAGCAATATACTAGTACTCCACTGCCCACATCTTATTCATCACTTACCCAGCAATATACTCCACTGCCCACATCTTACTCATCACTTACCCAGCAATATACTCCACTGCCCACATCTTATTCATCACTTACCCAGCAATATACTCCACTGCCCACATCTTATTCATCACACACCCAGCAATATACTCCACTGCCCACATCTTACTCATCACTTACCCAGCAATATACTCCACTGCCCACATCTTATTCATCACTTACCCAGCAATATACTCCACTGCCCACATCTTACTCATCACTTACCCAGCAATATACTCCACTGCCCACATTTTATTCATCACACACCCAGCAATATACTCCACTGTCCACATCTTACTCATCACTTACCCAGCAATATACTCCACTGCCCACATCTTATTCATCACTTACCCAGCAATATACTCCACTGCCCACATCTTATTCATCACTTACCCAGCAATATACTCCACTGCCCACATCTTATTCATCACACACCCAGCAATATACTCCACTACCCACATCTTATTTATCACTTACCCAGCAATATACTCCACTGCCCACATCTTATTCATCACTTACCCAGCAATATAGGCAAAGTAAGTCAGTGCATCTGTTCTCCTACCACATGAAGATATCTCAGTGTAGGAATGCTTCAATTCAGTATTTCGTGTCTCTAGATTTTTAATTATAATATCTGTTTCAGCTAATTCTAGCCAAACATCCTGTAAACATAAACAAATATTCAAAACATACATACATGTAATATATGTGAGAATTGAGCAGAAATGTTTCAGGTTGTTTGCGGAGTGTGATAGATTAAGTCACCAAATATGACAACAGAATCAACAATCATCAAAAAGAATAGTGCTAAGAATTTGGCTAAGTTTACATGTGAGAACAAAAAAAGATGTAAATATCATGGAAATCAAATAAAATTGTCAGACACATGGTTTTTACTTTGTACTGAACATGAAATAAATCATTCAAAAACAGAAATTGATACGGATGCTTGAAAAATACAACAAAGCGGCCCTGTAAAATTGAATCAAATCACAAATAATGTTCAAGCACGTCTGTGAAAAGTGACATTTATACACATAGAAAGAAACCAAAATAAAAGTCCTCGTTTAGAAACTTTGTTAGAATTAAAACCAATATCAAAAGATTAAGTAATGGGTCATTACTAGGATGATGTAAAATATGCAGAAAAACAGTTCATGTACATTGAAGTATCCTCATGATAACATTACCGGTATATATTCACATCTCCCTGATTCTAATTAATTTGAGTATAAAGGTGTTCTCGCTATTAACTTTGTTTCAAAACATGACCATCTTGGAAATACAGTGTACAAAATTCTTAATATTACCTTTGGATTTATTTCTTTTTGTTTGATAACTGAGTTAATAGATCCTTCTATTAGATTTACACCACCTTCCTGTAAGACAATTACACACAGAAAATACATCAACTATTGATAAACAAGTCATTTTCAGTAGTCGCAGTTTATATTAAAGATGTGAGATATATATGTGACCTAAAGTGTGATGTATATGTGAAGTTTTAGACATCTTGATTCAGATCATAAAAATAATGCATGTGCATATGTATCATATAATGTTTGATGTATGTGTGAAGTTTAAATTGAGCAGTCCAGGCATGTCAAATATATGTAATGTGTACTGATGAACATGGGCACACATGGACACATACATGGATGTATGCACGCACAGACATCAATCCACAAGTCTCAGTGTTTCGAACTTGGCCAAGGCATGCTAATATATAAGGTTATTGTTTTTTGTTTTGACAAAAATGACTATAGATCAAAGAAACAAAAACAAATTAACAAGCTCATGCATACTTTTGGATTTTGTCTTTGAAACATCTTTGAACAAAATCTGTCCAGGCATGTTCGAGAAATGTGAAATCAGACAACCGGATGGATGAAAAGAACCCAAAAACATAAACAAAGTTTTTTGTTTTGTTTTATATATTTTTGTCAATCTGCACATATGTGAACAAAATATTGATCAGACCGACATTACCTCCTGTTTTCGTTGTTTGAAAAAAAAACACTTTCCAGTGGCACCAACCAAAAACATTTTTTCCCCTAAATTCCCTGTTTCAGATTTGACTGAAATATTCATCTGTCACAACAACTTACCTTTCCAACATGTACCTTATCTATATATTTTACTCTGTAACCAGCACTGTAAAATAACAAAAATTTGTGCAATGCAAGATGTACTTTTCCATGTGGCTAAATACAACATTTTACGACATGAGTTTTTACTCAAATTGAACGAGAGTAATGAGGTTATCATTAAATTCTATCAAAATTAATTTATAATCATTTTATTTCTTATATATAACACTACATGAACAATATTAATCTTAAGGTCTTTGCATAGAATATATGACAAACATTAACAGTTCCCAAACAATACAATTATTTACCTACCGGTAGTATACAATTAGAGCACATGAAAAACAAAAGAAACTCAGTAGATGATTGTAGAGGGCACTATGTTAAGAAATTCTTACAAACAGCATATGGCTTTCCGTACTATTAAATTTGGCAACAATCTCGAGACAAGATGAAGTTATTATCTGCAGAATATACAACTGTTTTATAATAACAAAAACTAAATATACCTTCCTTCTGGACTAGAAATAGGAACCTCATCTAGAGCGTCTCTTGGCAGCTGTGCATGTGAGGGAATTTTTTTCTTTATTGGTTCTCTCTCCTTAGGCTCTTTAAAGTTTGCATATTCTTTACGCAACACTGCAAGTCTTTCATGTATTGGGGAAAATATTTTACCATTTAACAGATGACACTATTAAAAAAAGAAAAGTATAATAACAGACTTTAAAAATGCAGGACAGAAAAAAACATTGTATAACTATAAGCCGCTTCATGGCTACAAAATTTGCAATTTTATTGCAAGATTTACATTTAATTCGATTGCAGAATCTTATATATGTTAGTGTGATGTATGTTTGAATCAATGGATAGTCAAGTCAAACCAATGCACACGAGACATTGTATTAAGGCAGCAGCAGGGAGAAAAAGAGGTAAAAATTAATCTGTAATTCAGACATTCTTGTAAACCTATTAAGTATGCGACCTATACATCATCTGAAAGCTTAGATATAAGAGAATACAGTAGTGCATATGCCATATCGATGTTAGCCTTGATAACTATTAAAAACATCAATTTTTAACACTTTCAATGAAGCGTGTGAATTGTTTGGGATGTTGCTGTAGTCTGACATTTGACATTCGTTTTATTCAACAACAATCCATTGGCTTTAATTAGAAAACTAATTTAAAAGCATCGATAAATCAAATAAACCTTTGAAACAATTAACTCCTGTGTGTCACAAAAATATAAATGGTCATATGATAAGTTAGCCACATCTCTTGTCTAATGCTTTCATTACAGCATCAGTTAAATGTGCCTAAAATAGTTGTGCTTAATATTAAAATTATGCAATGAGATCACAAGCCCATATATAGTCATATTTCTTGTGCATATAATTTACAATAGTGATAAAGATAAAAAAAAATAGGCATAATAATTAGGTCACATAACCTGATTAATGCAAATTAATATGTATGGATTTCAATCTTAAAGTAATCATGTATATGGATTATCCAAGTTGATGGATGTTAGGTATTAAATTAGTATGCACAACATCAAACTAAACATCTACGGGGTACGTGATGTTATCCCAGACCACTACTGTACCTAGGTTCATTGATATCTGCAGAGTATTTGTTGAGATTTCAGTAGAAAAACTTAAAATTGAAAAAACTATTATGCATGTTGGGTAGAGTCAACTAATCAAGATACATGTACAATAAAAAGCACCTACGAAATTGACAAACAGATACCTCAAACAAATATCGATATTGCATACACTAGCGTATTCACCTATATCTTAGCTTTCAGATGATATATAGGTTGTTGTAGTAGTATGCTCAGTAACTTTTTGAAAATGTCTGAATTACAGATAAATTCTTAATATGTTTAACCCTGGTTGCTACTTTAAGGTCAATCCTAATTGGATGTCATCACAATGTGCAATGATTGTCAAAAAGTTTACCTTAACGACAGAAATATAAATTGGCCAACCTTCATGATCACACATCAGTTTAGATATCTATAAATAAACACATCACCAATTTAGTAAAACAATCATTGTATGAAATGAAATGTGTGTAGCAGTTACAGTTACAAATAGCAGTTACAAATAAGCACTGTGGAGCAAGCAGTGTTCGACCTTCGAACCCCATTTTTGCTTCCATACATGTACTTGATCATATTTATAGCGAATCACTTTCTTCATGAGTTTTTTGCAATTGCTGTGAACTCAATTATTCCAACAGCTATTCTAGCACTTCATGTAGATATAATACAACTGATCAGAGAGAGAGTGGCGTTTACCACTTTATCAGTTTAGATTTCCCTTACCTTGCCTTTACTAGCTCCATACATACTTTCACCAAATAGTTCATCTATTATATCGCCTGGTTCTAATTTATCCTATAATTAAATTAAGAATTATATTGTTAATGAATTAATGAGCCATTTATTTTCCAGAGATCATCAAAAGTGTGTAATTCAAGCAAGTGACAATAATTCACCATGTCTTATACTCAAATCATGTGTGAATGAAATTGATGCCATTAATTCAGTGATTTTGTGTTTTTCAAGACAAAAATTACCAAATTATGACAGTCAAAACAAAATACAGAATAATTTTACAAGATTCAAAAAAGTGAAAGAAAAATTTTGTTCAAAAAGTGTATTATAGGTAATAAAAATAAAATAAAAAGAAAACCATGATGCTAGACTTGGACTCGGGTTTGTTACACTAATTCCCTCAACTTGTTTGAAATGTAGCAAGACACAGTGGTGGGGTAATTAACAGAATTTGTTACTTTTTTTGTAAAATCACAGAAATAATCACTAAACCAGAAGACAGTGTTTATGAACTATGCCGGTCACTTATGTAAGACAAATGAATGGAAACTTCAAGTATGCAGTCAATCAGGAAGTGATTCCATTGAACATCTCAACATCATGAAGTGTACTAAATATACAAGTAGTTTTTGAACACTCATTTTGTTGAAGTCAAGCAAAAAGAAGACTCTAATTTCTACTCACATCTTCACCGGCAACACTACCAGGTTTAACATCTGCCAACATGATTCTATTTTTGATATGTCTGACAATAATACCTAAATCTCGACATGGTACTAATTCATAGTGTTTATACACAGGTATCTGCCATGTTTCATCTAAAAAACTTGCATTCTGGGAATACAACAAGAGAACAGTATTTTATATCAGTCATTGTTAGTGATATGTTTGAATTTGACTAAACTAGATTTTGACTAAACTAGAATTTTTTTTATCAAGGTTGCTTTATAATCATACTCTAGCCAATTACAAATGAATATAACAATCTAACATTAAAGACAATGCAACTGAGTAGAAATTAAATACTACATCACCTTAATATTTAGTTCAAAATCAATGTCCGTTACAAGGAACAGCATTGACATTAACGATTCTGAAAAAAAAACAAGTAACAATATTACATGTGTACATTATCCCTGTGAGTTCTCAAGATTAAGAAATATATAAAGTTTGAACAATCAGAGATATGGCTTTAAAAAATAGAATCACCAAAACAAAATGGCCACCAATCGGCTATTTTGAGTCCATTCTTTGAGCTGGTATTTGAAAATTCACTACTACTGAACTGAACACATTACTTGATATCACAAGATTTTTGTCTTGAAACCCTTTAATTTAAACCAACCTTTTAATAATTCATTTGCTATGATAGAAGTAGATGGATCATACCAGTACTGAAAGCAATAAAACACTTGCTATTAACATGCCAAATACACCATTTATATGACAGTATTTTATTGGATCACAATGGCTTGAGCCAGTTTAAAGTCATGTAAATGCAGTCCTCCTGAGTTGAGTTCGGCTCCAATAAGCACAGAGCCCCAACATATGGCCTTGTGGTCTAAACATAGTTACTAATTTTGTAGTAAATTCAATCCACGGCTCTGTACACAAATAACAAACGAGCACGAGACATGAAACAAACGTGAACAAGGTGCCCTCTTCTGCGGCACACATAATTATCCAATCAAATCTAAAACTACCAGAAATATTTGAATTAATATAATTTTCAACAATCTTTTTCATATCTGCACATCTTGGAACTTACCTCTGTAAGTTTGGGATTTTTTAATAGTTGACTAATTGGCACATTAATAATCTTTTTCATTAATGACAATCTTAGAAAACATCTGCCTTTTCCTTGGTGAGTTCTCACCTGAAATGCAACATGTACATGTATTGATAATAGTTTAACTCAAAGTCTGTGTGCATTTTCCAATGTAGACAGAAGTACTTTACAGAAACAGAAATCTTTTACAGAAAGATCAAGCCCAATTCATTGTAGACATTAGTAGTTCACGGAAACAAAGATCCTGCCAAATCGCTATAGATATGAACAAATTTGGTTACCTTGGAAGAATTTTGACAGGTTTCAAGGGCCAAGGAAAACAGAGGATTTATTCTGAAAAACAAAAATTGAAAAGAGAATTATAATATTATAGTAAAGGTTATGCTTGAAAAATAGGGGAATTCCTTCATTTTATAGGTGTTGTGGGTGCATTTTGCGATGTGTGTGTGTGTGTGTGGGGGGGGGGTCTGTCTTTGTAGCTGTAGTGTAGGTACATGTATGTTGCATACAGGGATACTGTCAATGACATAGCCCCTGTTTTTGTTTGCCTGAATTTAAATTTGAGGATACAAACTTGGAAAGGATGTGAAAGAAAACAACTTTGCATGCATGTGAAACCCATTATATTTTGTCTTTGTACCACACATTTAAACAAAATTGGTCAAACGTATCTGAAAAATAGGAAAGATTGACAAATGAAAAAAAAAATCTGCCAGTTTGAATACAAGCGACCAGAGACATAATGCGTGCATATGGCATATACATGTATGTATAACATTATTTATTATACATCTAGATCTGTCACCGTAACGCCATAAGTTTTAGTGTGCCGTAATTTTGTGGTATCTTACAGGGTATTTTCATACTACCATATAAGAAAATGCGAATTTCAAATATGGAATGATTACGCAAGTAAGCGTCCTCTAATAATAAAAACAAACATGGCTGCCATCAGGGTTTGACTGGACTCCACACAAAGAAGTCCGCTGATTCTGTTCTAAACTTTTGGGATTTTGGCATTCCCATGATGTATCCTTGGAAGGAAAACATGTATAATAATAAGGTTATTATGAGTATACCTCAAAGTATGCACTCAGACAGTACACCTTCGCATCGTTACTCCTGCTCTACTGTCTTTGTGCATACTTTGAGTGAGGTACCCTCGTAATAATCTCATAGTCTTTGTACCAAATTTGAACAAATTCTATCCATGTATGTCACAAAAATTACATTGCAGCTTAAAACACAAGTCCTACCTACATCTGGCAAATGAATAAATTAACCAAATACAAAAATACTTAATTCATGTGTTACTATTATATTGTACCATTCAAAGTCAACTTACTTATCATTCCATGTATAATGAGGTAATGCTTCAATCCAACACCAATAATCTCTTCTAATAAGACCAAATATGGAACCAGGTTCTAAAAACAATATACAATATATGAAAACTTGCTACTGCTTATACGATAAACAGGGTAGATAAAAACTGCTAGAGGGAGCACTGCAGTTCAGCGGAGCCACTAAGTAGGGGAGATAGGGTTTTCCCTACCAGCCTGAGGGTGTGGAGTTTTTGATAATTTTAAGTTAAAATGCAGCATTCTATGCTTCCTTGGGGCCAAAATTACTATCAGACAGGTCACAGTTGAAGACTGTGGTCGCATATGATCCCTGGTCAATCAGAATTTTATGATTGCCAGAGGATCTGCTCCCCAGGGTAAGGGGGTGCATGGCCATGGCATGAGGGTGCTGTGCCGCTGTTTCCTTGTTTAAAAAAAAAACTGGATAAATAAAATATACAATATAGGCAGTCCAATTTTTTTACATTTTGCACTTGCTCATTCGCACTCAAAGTGAAATAATGGTGTTGTTTGCTGCGTATGTTAATAAATGTGTGTCACTCTTGATTAAACAACTTAATAGACAACTTTGTCACAGTAAGTCATAAGGTAGTGCTGACCAGTGAGTGACACTTGTTATAAGACATTTGCATACAGGTTGGCAAACCATATGATGTCACAGTGTGACTTCCTATATATATACAATGTATATATGTACAATGTAGTCTCCACTAAAAATAATATTTTTATTAGATATGGAAGACCAGCCAGCCGCCTTTTGTCTGTATATTACATTTATCGTATATACATAAATATAAACACCCAAATTTTTGGGTGGATTAGGTCAAAACTATTATTAATATTAAATAATGAAACATTATAAAAAACAAACGTTTTTATGACATGAATACAATCAGATATTGAATTTGCTTTCATGTATTGAATTAATATCCTGAAGTTTTCATGGAAAGGTCATTTGGAGTAATATACATTATGTGTGGGAGATCTCAAATTAAATAATTTTGGAATCAACATAATTATTTAAATCATGCAAAGTATATAAAATACATTTGTGTGTCTAAAATTAAGAGGACAGAGCCAACATATTTTAAATTCACCGTAAGATTATTACAATGCATGTATGCATGCCCCATTTACAGTAGAAAAGAATGTAATCATTGAAAATGTGTTGCAGATTAAAAAGCTGTGGCAATTTTTTTGTTATGTATCAGATTTGAACACAAAGCATGACATGACACAATCACCATACCTTTAAAGTTGTAAAAATCTGATTTGTAAACCAATATGAAGTGTATCATTCCATAATGTATGTACTAGTGACAATTTTGAACAAATTTCGTCCATACACAATACAGGCAAAATCTGTTTTTTGATACATTTTTACCACTAAAATGACCACTATTGGCACATCTTTAATTAATTACATGTAGCAAAATGAACAAATGATATATACATGTAGGTGCAAATTTTGAAAGTGAATGGTCGTACATGTAGGATATTAGAGATATGGCTCCGGAACAACTTTTATTAAAACAAAATGGCTACCAGTCGGCTGTTTTAAATCTGATCTGGGATACAAAATCACATGCATAAAGGCCTCAATATGTTCAATGTATATATTTAGTGTAAATAAAATCCATCAATATACGACAAAGCTCTAGTTTTTTAATGAAAGAAATCTTTGATTTTGATGAATTTTTAGCATGGAAATGACCACCATGAGGTCATCTTGAGTTAGACTGTGAAACTGTTAGACTGTGTGATATGATGTATTTGTGAAGTTTGAATTTAATCAGACAAGGGATACAGGTGCAGAGGAATGAACAGATGCACAAATGTAAAGACACACAGAGATGAAGTTATACATACAAGTCCCCTTTTTCAGACCTCACAAGTACACCCAAATTTTATTTAAAATCAGATGCAAATGAGCTGATTGTATTGTATTGGCTAGGCTAGCACCTCTCTTCTTTCTGTGCATGCTCATGCATAAATTAGAATGCGTTAACACCCTAAATAAAAGTAAAATATGTACAGACGTAAAAAGTTACATGTGCTGGTACAAAGTGTTACCGGTACCTCTGTTAATGTCACCTAAGAATGGATGTAAGGTGAAGCATGCATCGAGGGATGTCACGTTTTACAACCCTTTTTTTTTTACAAAATAATAACGATTTCTGTGCTATGTTTTCCATAAAATTAGAACACAAATTAAAAAGATACAAATTCAAATCTTTTTTAAACACATTTTATAAATTGAATCTGGTGTACGGATTAGTCGAGTCCACAAATTAATAGTTTTTATGGTGTAGATCAAACTACATGCCCTGTATGAGAAAGCTGATCTGTGTTACACTGGGTGTGGATGTTGAAACAATGCTCAGAAAAAAAGTAATCTCCCTAAATTCGAACCACTATCCAAAAAATGACCCAGGGTGATCTGTTAGATAAATATGGTAATACACACAGGATTACAATAGGTTTTATCATAAAAATACCATAAAGTATGCACTGAGGCAGTACAAGACTGCATTTCTACTACACTTTCATCGATATGATCACCATACTGCCTTCATGCAGTCTTTGCAGTATTCTTGTAATAACTTAATAAGAGATAAAGATGACATACGATACTTACGCTTCAGGCCCTTTCGGTAAATTTTTTCCAATGTTTCACAAAAAAGCTGTACTTTTGGGTTACAGTCTTTCATAATCTGTTTCTCATTTTTTAAGCTTAATATAATACCTAAAAACAAATAAACATACTTTATTAATGGCATTTATAAAAACAAAACATTGTATGACAGAAGGAAATCAAGCAATCATATGCTACGCTAAACAGATTTTTTTGGGGGTAACTGGATTTCAACAGATGCTAAACCAATGAAAAATGAAAAAACTTTGTTTTTTCTCATCCAAATGGCAACCAAATCACATGAACAATCAATAATATTTGCAAACTTTAATGAACTTGGATGGTACAAACTAAGACCATGTTCATGTTCACTTTAAATATTAAACCTTCACTTAACCTAATCTCACTGAAATAATAATTAACTCACAACTACGCCAAATGTGCCCTCTATTGTAAGCAGATGCTATGAAGTCACCACTAATTGCTGGGACTCGTTCATATAGTGTTCCTTCTAAACCTAATTCATTTTGTGAGAAGCAAAAGTAGATGAATAATATTTGGAAATTCTCTGTGCACACTGGAATTTTTAAGTGTCAGTAATAGTAATATTTTAGAAAACAAGAAATGGCAAACCATCCCATATACATTAATATGCAATTTTTACTAACGATAATTCATCTTGATATTTTTAGTAAATTAAAAAAAAATCTCAATTTACTGCAACCACTAATGACAGAGAGAGAGAGCATAGTGCATGTGAAATACTTGGTTGATTTAAAATCACTAATTGGTATGTGAAAATTATTATTATTATATAGTTTATATACCTGAGCACTAAATGAATTATTCAATAAAAAAAAAATCAGCTGCTGTCTACTATCAGTCATTTATTACATTTCGCAATGAGGCAATGCTTAGATCGCAACACAAGAAAACGCATAACATTGATTTTCATGCAGCAATTTTTTGGCTTGTTTTTGTGGATTTTGTCTAATATTGAATAACACATTCATAGTAGGTGTGATTCAGGGCAATTCGTTTGAGATGTTACTTGGTTTTACTTTTATAATCAGTTTTCAATTTCATTCACCAGTTGCCCAATACCACTTAGTAAGCAATGAATATATGTCAGTAATCACATATTGGGATCATGACTGTGAAAAAGTGTGCAAAAAGTGCAAAAAGTGTGAAAAAGTGTGAAAAAGTATTATGACACCAGAAGACCAACGATTGTTCCACTAATAATATGATGTGCAGAGTAGCGCATTAACAGCTCCATTTTTTTTTCTTTCTTTTTTTCTCTCATTTTTTTTATTATTATTATTTTACTTATTTATTTCTGGAGATTTTGTTTTTTGTTTGTATGTGTATATATGTATGTGTGTGCACGTATATATACATATATATATATATAGCCTGCATAGAAATGTATATTGGTTAGGATTGGGCCACAGACTAGATTAGTTCGGATGAACTACCTCTGTGGTCTACACCAAGAAATTATTATTATTATTATTATTATTATTATTATTATTATTATTATTATTATTATTATTATTATTATTATAAGATTACTAGAATTGTTATTATTATTGGTGAAATAAATCATATAATATAGTTGTTTGAAATTTTTTTGAAACCAGGAAATGAAATAACAGACATTTACTCCACATTCAATTAATCTTCAAATATTCCCAAAAAACAAAATAATTTTCATTACCATCTTAGTAGTAGTAATTCACACTTACAAGTTTTTACTGTATTCAGTGCATGGCATTTGCATGCCCTTTTTTTTGTCTGATGTTTGGTGTCAAATTTTGATTTTGGAGATGTTGGAAAACAGAAACAATAGACTGTTCAGGAAGGGGGTGTGGCTACAAATTTACTCAAAGATATTTTATTATTTCATTTTCATTTTTTTTTTACAAATGTTCATTTCTAGCCAACAGAAAGCCAAAACATAATTGTGTAGGCATTTCACAGGCATTTTTTTCATGCATTTGTATGCAAAAACAACTGATATTCAAGGTGGCTTTGAGATGAAATCCCCCACATTTATCAGTACCGAATTTGCATAGGGAGAACGCAGCATTCATAAAATAAAGTAATAAACCACCATGACAGTTGGATATTGCACAATTCACTCCATATATACTCAAAGGCCGTGCATTAATGTGCTGATTTGTGCAATACCCCATGTACATATACTGTAAAATGACTAATATTCACTGGGTTTAAATTTCACTGATTTACCATTTCAGGCATATTCAGTGGGTTTTAAATTCACAGTTTCGTCATTTAGATAATGTGTTCTATGCTAAATTTTACATATTCACTGTGTTTTAATTTAGCGCATTTTTTCAGTCAGCGAAATAAGCTAAATTAAAACCCAGTGAATAATTACCCCCTTTACAGTACTGCGAAAGTGGTTTATTTGTAAATTTAACTACGGCTTCTACATAATTAACAACACACTTTTACCCAAATAGCATTCATAACAGCATATTCACACAATTAAAAACTAGTATAATGTAATATTATTCATTACTCCAATTCATTTTTTCTTCTTCTGGATTTATAAATATGCGACAAAAACGTTAAAACAAATTATCAACATTACATTATTAGGTTATTCGTGTTTTTCATATTTTCATTCAGTATAATTTGCACTCTCGTCACTCTATTATATATGTATTATGTAACAGTTTCAGTTACTAGGTGTTTCCATATGCACAAGTCATGTCAGCTGCTGTTTACATCACACAACATAGAAAAAAATCCCAGCTCGTGCCACGTTTTGGTTCAATTATTAAAAACAGGTATATGCCTTTGTCATGGAGTATCGTTTTATAAAACTCACCTTTCAATTCCGTCAATAATGGATCTCGAAGTGCCATTTTACCTCCGACTCGACCAAAGAAGTCCGACTGTTCCTGGTTTGATCTTGAGGAAAATACATATGACAACACGTATCTACTAACTGTTGTTATCTACACTCGTGCTAACTGCATGTAGAATTATCAACTGATAGATATACGGGTCATACTGCACGGTAGCAATAACGATTATAATATTTACTACAGAACGGTAATCCCAGCTCGGAACCGGAACCGGAATGATCCGTTGGCTCAATTTTTGTCAGCGGGCCACCACAGGGGGCGCTCTTCGTAAAGACGTGATGTAAATCGGGAAAGATTTGGTTTGAATGTTTTACTTGTTACGTACATAATATAATAGTTTAGAATCTTCCAAAAAATCTGTATATACATCTTTATTATACATATCCAGTAATTAGATATATTATAAATCCTACACCAATGTATCTGATGCTACCAGGTTGTGTAAATCTTACTATTTCGTAAGTTGGTTTAGAATTATAATTCAACAACAACTCTTCATTAATAATCTTTTCAAAATTACAGAAAGATAATTAACGATGTGCAATCAATGACATTTGCAGATTAAAGAAACAACACATTAATTGATAGTTAGTTTTTATTTCTTCATTGAAAAATCTCTATACTATCCCAACTCTCTGTAATACTCATTGATAACCTAGTGTATTGTCAAGATATGGGTGTATCTACATTAATTTATATATGTTTTGCATGTGTCATATTCGGGGTGGGGGCAAGACTGGTTCAGTATGAGAACGGGGACTCGATGTGCTCCGGGTTTTTGCATTGAATTTCCATTATGATAGGAAGATGGTCACACGGCCCAGTCACGCACACGTAGTCCCAAATATGGACTATGGTTTTTGTGACAACACTACTACGTGTCAGCACTCAAACAAACTCTGTATTATGACAGGCGGGAATTTATTGATAAAGGTATGCTTCAATCCCAAGATGTTAGTGTGTTCATGTCTGTGTTTGGTATATTGACGGCCAGTGAAAAAATATAAAATTTTCGAAAATATTATCATTCTTTCAAGGTGAATGAATTTCATTTCTATGCAGGGAACAATAATAACGTAACTAGTATTTTATAAAGCACAGAATGTATAATATTGATCGCTGGTGGCGCTGTTGATTGCGTTGCAATACGTTGATGGTAACATGGAAGGAAGAATGATAACGGGAAGAAAATGACATGAATTAAAAAGCGCAGAACCGATGAGTCTTGCTTGCCAAACACGTTATAATTGTGTAAATGTATTGTGTAAATAGACGTGTGAAACAGTAAAACAAACATGAAAAAATAACAACACTCGTGATATCTTTAATTCTGTTATTCAGATATAGTTCTGGTGAATGAAACTCGTGAAAAAAATACAACAGAGAGAATTCCGCCAGATTCATAAGTCCACAGACGACCAATGTTGATTTCACACAATATTGTGCTGTCTACATTTCAGTGCCGAGTCAAGTTTACTCCAGAATAACAGTTCTCCATGTTTGTTGTCACTCCATTCAATATGATTACCTTTTCGCATTAAATATTTCAACAATCCTGGCATATCACCGGTTGGGACATTCTCTTTCATGATTAAAATGGCTAAATCTCGGTGTTCATCAAACATCTGCTGTCGTACCATCTCAAGTTCAAAGTAACACCACTCACTTTCAACAAACGATTTGGTTAAGATGAACGCCGTTTTACGACTTTTCTGCACAGCGTCAATAATATTATCTGCGATTGTCTCCCCTACAATAAAATCGCGATAATCTAAACACAATTTATAATTATATGGTGGATTTTCCAGAGTTGGGTGTAGGACCTTTGAAACCCACTCTTCGTCTTTACTGGAATGCGAGAGGAAAACGTCATATTCGTATTCGTCATCGTCACCGTCAACCAAAGGCTGATAACCCAATAGCCTCGCTTTCACTAGATGAAGGGAATATCTGCAATTAGATAAAACCATAATGCAATCAATCAACTAAGCAACTTCTCTATTTACACATTTGTAAGATGCGCTTTGCATTCAATTCACCAAGGGTGTTCAATCGAGTTTTGGAGCAATTTACTGTTCTGTATAATCCCTGGTTTGTATCATCTGTACATCTATAAGGGTCGGCAAGGGGTATTTTCGTATGCTGTAATCTATTGTTTTTTTCGTAATCATGTGAATTAAATAAATAAAAAAATGCAAATTCGTAGCTATGGGCAAGCTATTTTACTTAAGCGTATAAAGCACTTTCCACAATAAATGTCGTAATTCTTACGCAATTTCCAATTTTGATTCGTATGCTGTAATCTATTGTTTTTTTCGTAATCATGTGAATTAAATAAATAAAAAAAATGCAAATTCGTAGCTATGGGCAAGCTATTTTACTCAAGCGTATAAAGCACTTTCCATAATAAATGTCGTAATTCTTACGCAATTTCCAATTTTGCTTCTTAAATACAAATTATCAAATATATTATAAAAATATAAAATGAAATTTGCTTCATCTGTAAAGTGTAAAAATCCTATTTTTTACTGTTAATTGAACATTTCATTTTATTTCCTGTATACACGTAAAATGTCTTTTTATATTCCCTGTAACCTGTACAACCCCCCTGCCCCTCTTCATCTGCTGCATGTAAAGCCAACTTAAATCATCTCTACACCTTTATAAAACATGTAAAAACAAAGCAAACACCGTAACACTAAACAAATTATGATATTTCACGTTGACCCAATTTATACCGCTCCAGGTGGATGCAAACTTACGGGAAATACTATTAGTAATGGAAGAATCGCTAGGACATGTATCAATAGGGTAATACCATATAAACACAATTCAAACCATACCCCAAACATTTTTTTTATTAGTAAATATATTAGTTTTACTCAATAAGGGCTGAACCAACAATAATCTAAACGGGAGGGATTTGACATCACGCCAACACCAATCGTCCACAATTGTACACGTGCATGATATTGAGAGAAAGAGAGTCTACCTGATTCTCCACCTGTTCTTTCCCATTGCAATTAAAACGCTGATAAGAAGCAACCCAGATACAGATAGAACGATGATCTTGATATATGGGAATCCACACTCCAGCGTATCTGGGTTAAAATCAACGATTCTGTACCCAGACAAGCACATAGTATCATTAACAGACACCAGTACATTCACAGTTGAAACCCAATTACGGAACCAGATTAAATCGCAGTTACACTCAATTGGGTTGTTATAGAGATGGAGACTCGTCAAATTCGTGTCTTTCTGAAAGCCAATTTCGGAAGAAATCGTTGATAGTCTGTTATGAGCAAAATTTAACTCTGTCACTTGTGTCGATCCACCAAGCAAATTACCGGGGAGAGTCTTGATTTCGTTTGTCTGAAACATCGCTCGTTTTAATTTTGGTAGATCTCGCATTATGTCATCCGGCAACTCCGTTAGCTTATTCTGGTGCAGAAGAATTGTCTCAAGCTGGACGTTATTGGCAAACGTCCCACCAGGAAGTGATTTTATTATATTGGACTCTAACTGTATTTTAACCAGCTTGCTTAATGGAAGAAACCACTCACGTCTCACTTGATTAATTCCCCTTTGCACACTGAGATCTAATAACTGCAAGGAACTTAAACCTTGGAAGGCATCCAATTCTACAAGATTCCAGACGAGATTATTGCCGTGCAGATACAACTTCAGCAATCTGCCGAGTTTGGAAAACGTTCCGTTCTTAATACCAGATATTCCGGCTGACTGCAGATATAATAATACAGTCTCCGACGGCACTCGTGAAACTAGTTCCTTTAAGTCACTGACTGACTTGAGATTGTAGACGAGCTTCAAGTTACCCCACGATTCGTAAGAAAACGCACAAAACTCGCAGCTGAAACCTTCAGGACACGTGATATTTGTAGCTGACACGCAGCGTGTTTCTCCCCGCGATGATAGTAAAATTGTGAAGAAAACGTTCAATATCGGCGTCCAGAAAAACTTCCAGGTCATGTCGACGTGATCACAAAAGTTCCTTGTATGAATGCCCTATTTAATGAGTGTAGATGTTCAGGGATGGACCATTTAGAAGAACGTCCAGGTTTATTTACTTCCTCGTTTTATGTACAATTCTCGCGAGAAGATTATATGCATATCAAGTGATTTATTCACGCACGTTATCATACTGGTTTAATCTCGGCCGTATTTTTTTTCAACAACTTATGCAGAAATAACGACCCATCCCTTACACAACACATTCATACTATCACCATAGAAACCTTGATAAGAATCAATACTGCAATAGCTTTGTTCAAGTTACATGTACATTCCTGCATGTGGGTTGGATCTTTGGCTGCATATTTCGGTTGGGGTAAAAGCATGGAGGTAGAAGCTACTTGGTAAATATCGTAAGCCTGTAACAGAATAGCGCCAACGCGTTTCCTACGTAACACTGAATCTTTGACGACCACCTGTTGATACCTTTTATAAGTTGACTCAGTGAAAACTGGGTTTTGATCAACGCAAATTGGCATATACATAAAACAACTCAGAATTAAAAATTCCAATATTGAATCTCTAATTTAAAAATTTGTTAAAAGTATGCGAAAAAAGAATACATCCTTCGAGCCGGATTCGAACCAGCGACCTAAGGATAACAGCAAATGACCACTACAGTCCTCCGCTCTACCAACTGAGCTATCGAAGGGTTGCTGACATTGGCCAACAACAAAAGATTAGATTGTCAACTTTTTCGATAACATACAATGAAACACAATGTTTAGTTAATGCCTTGTTTCTGCGTGGCTAAAACAACCATGGGGACGGACGACAAAAGTAAGTGCGAGAAGCTACAGTAAAATATCATTCAAATAAATTTGACTAAAATGAATAGCTTTATTATCAACAACCTCGATTGTAATGATTGTAATCATTTGGTTTCAAAACATCGCCTGCAAGATTCTATCAATAAAGGAATTGTCTAAACAACATAAATATGGATATGGACGATGGATGTACGAAGGCCTTTGCATTTGAATAAACTACTAATATGAATACTAGTATATCGTATGAATATTGAATGAGGTTATCGATAACGAACTATATTGTTCTATTAATAGCCAGACTAAAATGACGTAATTACTACAGCGATTGTTTTTTTTTTTAATTTATTTTTGTTGTTGTTGTTGTCACATTTCAGTAAATATTATAAACCTAATTAAATTACTAAATTGAATATTAAATTATTAAATTAAATATATATGCCATGCCTTGTGAATTTATCTGTTTTAAAATTATATAAACCCCTGCAATTTGAATACTTAATTTGATCAGTCTAACTAACTTGAATCATATCTTTTATATAAAGTTTTTTATTTCTATTAAATATTTCTCGGAATGTACATTTCTCTGTCGATTTGAGATCATCTCGCATGTTGCGTGACTTCGTATTTAGATCGTGTATCAGACCATGGAAGGTACTAACGTTAGTACCTTCCATGATCAGACCATTTACATACTCTTATATTTATAAATCATTGATGATATGCAAGAGAATTTTCACATTGCACCTAGAAATCTTTCAAAATTCATTTCCCATTTTACGTGGTCCAGCAACTTAGAACTTGTAATTCACAAAAATGTTGTATTTTTCATTTATGAACTTACTCATTTTCCAAACAACCAATAATTAACAACCAGAACAAGCCTATAAAGGTAAGGATTCCGATAAAATTTTTCACACTATTTGCTGCCATTGAAATACAATTATTTCACTGCAATTTGCCATGTCACCACATTGAGAACTGAGATCAAAATAGGGAATAGAGTATATAATTTAATATGGCCACAGCTCACGCTTTAGCTAAAACGTTTCTAAATTACTCTTTGTGATTTTATGTTTCATAGAAAATGCTTAGATCACCTGTACCAGTTTTTGAAATATGAACCTAAGCCCACCTATACGCCTTTTCTTTAACGTAACGCCTTTTACTACAACGTAACGCGTTTACTATAACGCAACGCCTTTTCTATAACGTAGCGCCTTTTACTATAGCGTAACGCATGTAATACAACGTGACGCCTTTTCTGTAACGTAACGCCTTTTCTATAACGTAACGTCTCTTCTATAACGTAAATGAGTTACACGAATGTTGTACAAAGCGTCTAAATCGTTTTGATTTGTAGTGGTTCATCAATGAAAATAATGTTTTTGGGAGATTTCACACTTTTGTGGATTTCAAACGACACGTCATTTTGACGTCACTGACGCGCACCGTCCCAAGATGGCGCGCGCAATCTAATGTGGCCATCAAAGTACAATTTAACGCAGTCACTGTTTCCATAGAAACAAGTTTTTTATTTGTATTTTGTCACTTATTTGATGAAATCTTTCACTCAACAAAATAGGGTGCAGTGTTATAAAATATCCACATATTTTAATAGTTAGCTGCGTGCATATATATTGAAAGATATTATTAGCGGCCGTTTGCGACGAATAGAAAAACATGGATTTTGAACTGTGAAAGATAACATGACATTTGACTACAGAATTATACGATCACGTCACGCACCTGCTTATCGTTCTACGTGGAACACGGCGCGGCAAAACGGTTTGAGATGGTGTATGGATTTCATGGGAAATGGCAGTCATTTTAATCACCCATTTAGTTGGTATCGGACGAATAACCAACCATGTCGAGTACATCAGCATCGTGCGATTCGCACCGCTTCAAAGCCGACCATCCAAGACCTCTGAGGACTTTTGAGTCTACGGTCGAGTAAGTGGACCTTGGCTGCCGAAGTTGGTACCTTTGTTAGAAATGTATTTTCTAAACGAATAACATATTTTGTCATTTATTCAGCCTTGGGCTCATGGCGTTGCAAGGCTGGGTGATATACGGACAGCGGACAAATGTTAGTATCGCACGTAATGAGAATAAATTCAATGACGTATTATGGTTAAGGGTTACATTGCACACATAACAAGACAAAATAACTGAGTGTGAATAGTACATGTCATTATTGATTTTGGTTATCTATTCGTATCACAACTCCTATAAAAGTTACGCCGTGACTCGTACCACCATTACCACGCCCATATCAGCATGTTAACACTTGTTGACGCACGATAAAATTAACTCGAATGACGCATATTTAGTTTTTTTTCAGAATATAAAAAGAACTGAGCTGAAAATGTACTTGTTACCTCACCGGAAGTGGAATAATTGCCTTATTCACAGGAATTGCTTAGTAACAAGTATATTCGACCGTACTGTCAAAAATAGCGCATCTTTCTTATCATGATCAGCTAATTAGAACTACTGCGGCATTTGAGTCAGCATGGATTGAATCGGGTGGTTTAGAAGTGCATTTCATACACAATCATTTACCCGGACTGTGTGCGTATTGGTCCTCGGATAAGGTAGCGTGACATCTTGTGTTATTTAGACCAAGACTTTTTCTTTGTATCTGCACGGATCTCGTTGCTTTACGTAGATATTTGGACTACATATTCTACAGAACACCTAACCTGCTCGCTATAAAGTAGTGTATGTGTGAGTCATAGTCAGGTTTAGAATCTCGTCCGCCATATTGTACTACTTGTTTTCAGCTTGACGATTGAATCATTAACGACGTCGACGGGATGAGCCGTAAATACTTAACAGTTACACTGGCGTTACTCGCAGTTCTGAATTTCTTATTAATTATTATGTTCGGCTGGCCAACTGCTCGTTTTTTGAGCAAGGAAAATAGTACACCGGGAGTTGTGCAAGAGGATTACAATATATTTCAACCCCACCGTAAACAACTTTATGATACGATCAATGTAACAACCTTTACAGACGAATTAAGTGGATTGAACGACACTATGCAACACATCGAGACTTTGTTGATATCATATCATCAAAGTTATGAACACAATCTAGAGGTCATTGACAACAGTCAACGACGAAACGAGGAACTACTGGTCAAAATAGTGGCCAATATTTCAAATACGTATAAAGAATTGCAACATAGGAACCAACATAATATTTCCACCAATTCTATCCTAGAGAACAACATCACAGATATAGTGAACAGCCAGTCCCAGGCGAAGGCGAGAGTCAATGTATTATTGATGGCGAGTATGCGCACTGGGTCCTCTTTTCTCGGTGAAATGTTCCGACAACATCCGGATTATTTGTACATTTTCGAGCCTCCTAGAGGACTACGTTTAAAGGATTACGACCCAATGCTGACCGTAAACGGAGTGCAAATGCTAACAGACATATACAACTGTGATTTCACGTCGCCTTTTTCTAAACCATTACTGGACAATCTGTTTAATCCTGTCGTATCGTTAGCTAGAAGAAATGTTGTCCCGGCATGGGTCAACGAAAAATACTGCTCCGGATGGAACGACCAATTTAAAATTTATACTAAATGTTCACCAATGTCGCCATCAATGGCGTCCGAATCATGCCGTAGTTTTAAGGGCGTCGTTGCCAAGGTGATACGTATCTACGACATTTATCCATGGTTTCACCTTATGATGAACTCTACTGTAAATCTTAAGGTGGTTAACTTAATCAGAGACCCGAGGGGCGTCATCGCGTCGGTAATTCCTGTTCATATAAAGCAGTATGCATCACAAATAAATAAACAAGATATCGACATTCAACTAGAAGAGAAGCACTTCGACGATGCACTGTCACGGAGGCTAAGTTTATACTGCTCTACGATGTTACGTAACGTTCTTGTGAGCAAGCATGCAAAATGGTTACCAGAAGAGAACTACATGGCAATCAGATATGAAGACATGGCAGAAAATCCAACCAAGGCGGCAAACACAATCTTCAACTTTCTGGGCACAGATGTCCATGATAATGTAAAAAGATGGATAAAGGAGAACACGAACTACACCGATGGTTCCAATAGCCCCTACTATGCGTGGGAAACTAAACGAAACTCGAAAGAAGTATCACAAAAATGGCGACAGAAAATGACTTATGGGCTTGCGAAAAAAATAGAAG